GACCTCAAAGGATGAGGATGAGGATTCCCAAATACTCTGTGGTCTCAATCTTTCACAGAGATCAAGTAGCTGCGATTCTCCCCCAGTAAATGTTCAGACCCTTCTAAAACTGGCAACATCTCGACTCCTCTATTCACAACTGGAGCTCACCCTCTCCAACCAAGGCCCTCACCTTCTTGAAGACCCTGGAACGTGAGGGGGAACCACCTCTGCACACCCATGTCAGGGGGCTCCCAGGCCTGCCAGCAGCACAGAGTGGGTTTCAGTGGGTCCTCTTGGTCTGGGGTCGTGGTAAAATTGGTCCACCCCAAGCTACCCCTGTCACTCACAGAGGGCCTGGGCCCTTTCCCTTCTGCTGCCCTGAGGATGCAGAGGGGAGGCCAAGGCACCATGTCTCTTAGCTGTCCACGCAATGAGCAAGCGGGGGAGGAGTCTCCTTCAGACTTCCTGCCAGGACTCCCAGAGCTGACTGCAGGGGTTTTCTGGTATATACTGCGGGGAGCGTTTCTGCCTAGTGTGGAACCCCCAGTCTTATCTCAGTGTGATCACCTTGAAGCCTCTAAGGCCTTGGACTCTGCCCCCTGATGAATGACCTGCACCCTTCAGACTAAGGCCCTCAATTCCCTGAGACCTGCGAGGTGAATTTGAAGACAGACCACTTCTGTTACTGTGCCCCAAGAATCCCACGAGTGCCACTAGGGCCTGAGTCCACTGCTCCGTTGTTGTCTGGGTGGGAGGGGCCCTCAGACCTGCCTCAAGGCCCACACTGTGGTTACTGGCAGGCCTGGGACCCCTTCCATTTGTTGCGCTGCTTCCAGCTCCATTAGGCCAATGCCCTGCCTACCTTAGACATCCCTCAGGCGGAGGTCTAGAAACAGCCCAAATCTGCAGCTCCTCCCTGAGAATTCTCTGTGCTGATGGCAGAGACAGGACGCTGTGGGACCCTTCAATGTGTGCTGGGGACCTCCACCGTCCTACCTCGCGTACTCACCTTGGGTCCTCGCAGAACCTGGACCCACTTCCTCTGCTTACCTGGAGCTTGACACCTCCTATCTTTGGTGCCCGAGTCCCCTTAATATTCCTCAGGGTCCTCACCTCGATTCCCACCTGGACCTGGGCCCTCCGCTTTCCCAACCTGAGTCTTTGCTCCTTTTTCCAAAACCTTGGTCTCTCTCAGAACTGGATGCCCAAGTCAGGAAACAACCGCTGTGGTCCTCTGGCCCCGTGCCCCACCCCCCCAGGGCTCCAGCAGGGGCCAGTTTATGTGGGGTCCTCGCTCTTGTGAGGTTCAGGGTCCTTCGGTCCTCCCTTTGCATCCTACCTTGACACCCAGCAGCACCGGGGACTTCCCCTCTGCCGCATATGGTCATCCCGTCCCCGGAAGTCCCGGGGCTGACAGTAGGTTCTGGCTTCTCTGGAGTCCCCACTCTTACGGTCACTTGCCATAGGGCCTCCCAAGGCTAAAAGCCGAACAGGTTTCTGTGGGGACCCCTCTGTTTCAGAGTCCTGGATCCCCTCAGTCCTCTCTCAGGAGCCTCGCTTTGACTCTGGCAAGTCTTGAGCTTTCCCTCTCTGGACCCGAGGCCTGCCTGGTCCTTACAGCGAGCCCCTAAAGCCTCTCGGACCCAGATGCAGAATTCAGGGAATGCCACTCTTGGTCATCCCACCGTGAGACCTGCCAGAATTAACTTTGTTCTGGGGTCGAGGGTGTCTCAGTCTCCCTCGGGGTCCTCGCCTAGACTCCCGGCGGTACCTCTTACCTGCTCTCTAGGGACCTGAGGCCCTACTCTTTTTACCAAGTCCCCAGAGTCTCAGACCCGGATGTGCACGTCAGGCCCCGCTGCACATAATCATCCGCCATCAGGCCTCCTATGGCTGATAGCAGGGGCGGGCGTGCAGCGTCTCCTGGATCGTGGGGTCCTCGGTGCCCTCGGTCTTCCCTCCGTGCCCTCACTTTCATTCCAGCTGGACCTGAGACACTGCCCTCTGCTGCCTGAGGCCCTGCCCCTTAAACCAAACCCCCGCAGTCTCTCAGAGCTGGATGCGGAAATCCGGAAACGCTGTGGGTGGTCATCCCCCGCCTTTCCCCCCAACCGTGAGGCTGGCCAGGCTTGACTCTGTTCCGAGGTCTAGGGTCCCTCAATCTCCCTCGCGGTCCTCACGTTGACTCTGGACAGGTCCTGGGCCCTGCCTCTACCGACCTGATGCTCTGCTCCTGACACCGAGCCCCCAGGGTGTCTCAGACCCGGAGGAGGCGGAAGGCGGGAAAGGCCGCGCGTGGTCATCCCGCATTCTGGGCACCCCAGGACGGACTGTTCGAGGGTCCGTGGTCACTCTGTCCCCTCTCATGGTCCTCGCCTTGAGCCCTGGCAGTTCCTAGGAACCTCCCTCTGCTGACCCGAGACTGGGCGCCTGAGACCAAGGCCCTCACTGCCCTGAGACACCCTACCGAAGTCTGTGGCCATCGCATCAGGCCGCCAAGTCCCGGGAGTCCCAGGGCTGCCGGCAGGGTCTGACGTGGATTCGGTGGTTTCCCTCACCCCTCCCTCATATCCTCACCTTGATACCAGGCAAAGTCTGGGACCTGCCCCCTATCGACCTGAGTTGTTTCCCCTCAGCCCTTATCCGTGACTCCCGGAATCATTCAGGAGGTGGGGGTTGTATGGAGGTGGATAGTTCTCCGAGAGCCAGCCAGCCAGCCCCGGGGACTCTCAGTGCTGACAGAGGGGGCAACCTGGATTCTGTGGGTGTCCTCAGTCCTCCCCCAGGGTTGTACCTTGAATCTCTGCCAGATTGGGCTCCTGGCTTCTACGGACCTGAAGTCGGCCTCCCGAATGTGGCCCTCACCTCTCTTAGATTTCCAGAAGAGTAGTCAGTGGATGTCACATCCAGACAGCATTTCTGGGGTTCACAAGAGCTGCTAGCAGGGGCAGAGCTCAGTTCTGAAGGGGAGGGCACAAAATCTTTCCTCTGGTCCCCGCCTTTTCTCAGCTAGTCCCCACCCTCTTCTGTCTTCAGTGTCTGCCCCTTAGCCCAAAGCTCCTATTCCCAGAGTTCCCTGAGGAGGTGTGGGGGTATGCTCAGTCCGACAGCCCTGCCCAGAGTCTCAGACCTGACCATAGCTCCCAGAGATGGATTCTGCAAAGCCTTCTGCTCTGCGGCGGGTGGACTCCTCAGTTTTCACTCCGAGGGTCCTCACAACCCTGGCAGAGAACGCAGCCATCCCAGGACAGATGCTAGAGGGTCATCTGCAGCACTCGAGACCATAGGGGAGGGTCAGAGGAGAAACCCCCTTTCTCGTGCTGTCTGTTCGGCAGACTGAGCTTTGGGAAGCCGTGTATTCCAAAGGTTTAGTTTTACTGAGGACCCTGAGCAGCAGCAGGGAGTTGGGGGCGTCCTGAGGCTGTGCAGTTATCTCCTTTGCAGTGCATCCCAAAGCCGCAAACAGCCCTGGCTCAGGCGAGTTACACCTGAGTGCTCTCCCCTGGAGCCCCAACGCCTCTCCCCTTCTTTTGCTTGTCCCGTAGGACTTAGGGGACACCTCGGCACCTTCCTTTGTATGACTGCGAGTCCTCTATGATCATTCTATGGGCGAATGTGTCCCCCTTATCCCAGTGTCCCCGAAGAAGGCCCTGATACAAAGAACCCCTGTCCGGAAGACTGACACAAAGAATGTGAAATAAAGGAGTTACGTCGGGGTCGAACACAGTGTCGACTCAAGCATAGCCCCTCCAGGTACTCAGAAGATAGCGAGGGCCTCCTGCTCATCTGCCCCAAGGGACACAATGAACAAAGGACTCTGTGGGCAATGCCTGCTCCCAAGGACGTTTCCGCTGTTCCCATGGGCACTGTATGCTTCTCGGACATTCCCACGGACGTTATCTGCCTGCTCCGCTTGCGAAGGCGCTTGGTCTGCCGTTCTCCAAACTGCTATCTGCTCCCGTAATTAAGCAGCACAATTTGCTCCCCTTGCTGGGGCCGTCAGTTACTCCCCTGATGAGCTAGTTCTGCCAAGGAGCAAGGTCACGGGATGACGCAGCCGCCGATTCCACGAGCGGACACCCAGTTTCTCTCGCCTCCACTCCAGGTGGCCTAGGAAACTAGCCTGGGCTGAAAGGACAAGCTAGATGGCCTTGGCCATCCCCACTCCCCTAGTTTCTGTGACTGCTGCTTTCCTTATATGATCGGGGCTCCCAAAGGTCCCGGGGAGTCGGGCTTTTGGAGCGAGAGCCAACCGTGTCTATGGGAGTTGCGACCCTCTAATGAACGCTGACTCTACTTAACCCAACTCCTGTGTCGGCCTTTCAGCTGGGAGCGGCGCAGGTCGCCTGAGCCCTGGACTCAGTTTCCCTCCTCCTTCGCCCCCACCACTAACACAGGGCCTTTCAGAGGAGAGGCTCAGTAAACTGAGCAGGGGTATTCTTCATTCGGGTCAAATGTCTCCAAGTTGCTGAAATGAACCAAGCAATCTCAGGTAGACATGCATGATTTATTTCATAAAATGACAGACGAAAGGGATAAACAGCAAGAATTAACAAAATTTTACTTCACTTCTCTAATTCTTGACTACCTCTATTGTACTGCTAAGTTCTTTCGCATTTTCAAAGAAATCCGGCTCCAGTGCCATGTGATCTAGTTCAGGACCACAAGCTAGGATGGAAGGTGTCCCAACGCGTGTGACACAAAAGCAAAACTCTCACTCTTCCAGTGGTTAGTGCAAATACATGTATGGTCAAGGTCGTGCACAAATAGATTCTGAGGGTTATTAAACTTTTCTACTAAAAGGAACCATTGAAAAATTCTTAAAAGAAACAAAAGATCAATATCTCAGTCATCACAGAAATCTTAAGATGTGACAGCCCATATTCCCCCACCCAGCCTTCACTAGCTAGAATGCTGACAGCTCTCTCCTCAAACACAGAGAGAATTGGCCTCACTTCATGCCCAGCAGGAAAAGATGATAGATGTGGGCCTGAAACGTGCCTGGCTGCAACTGTGACTCAGGCTCCCACTTCCTCATTGCCGTCAGCCTCTTCAGACAGGGATGGGAGGGAATTGGGATCCTGTCTATAGACCCTGAGCAAATACTCCATGACCTTCAACTTGCTGGTTTCTGCGTGGGCCCTGGGGCCCCACAGGAACTCGTAGCGAGCAGGATCGCTGTTGGCAACCTGCCGGTACACTACATATTGTTCCCGCACCCAAACTTTGGTGATGAGCTCCCTGGGCTCCCCATAGATGCTATGCTCCCTCCCAGCATACACCTCCATGTCACCCAGCGCTTCCCATATATCTTCCTCAGGGGCACAGTCATCCTCCAGGAGGATCAAGCCCAGGAGCATGACCAGGAGGCCGGTCCTGGGCATGTTGTGCCCATCGCTCACCATCCCATTGTAGGTGAGGCCCAGGGTGGTGGACAGGACATAGGTATGATTTGTAGCATCCACTTTATTCACATCAACACCAAAGACCAGCTGCAGGCACTCAGAGGCTAGGCTAAAGATCATAGGGAAGTGGTCTCCGTATTCTTTGATGACACGACTCAGCATTTCTGCCTTTGTGGTTGGCTCCTTGATGCGATACTTCAGGAGCAGGAAGACCACCGGGTCGGTTATCTTCAAATTTAAGGCGCCTTGGAGCGAGGACTCGGCATCTTCGGAGTCCTCGCCGCTGCTTGGCCCCTCCTCATCTTGGCTGCTGGAGCCCTCATCTTCAGATTGGCTCCATGGAGCGGTAGCCATAGCAGGGGGAGAAGGACAGGCACCCTCAGGGCTCTGGGGAGGGCTCTGTGTCGCAGCACCACCCACCTCCTCCAGGATGTCGGGGAACAGGACAGAGGGGGTGGAAGATATGGGTGAGGAGGAGGGGACCGTAGCCCCCTCCGTCACCTCAGCTCCCAAAACATGTGACTCCAGATGGCCGTGTTTCTCCTCTGGGTCCTGATGGTCTTCTCCAAGTTTGGAGAGCTCATTCATCTGACCAAGAGGCATGGTGACTGGTGTCAGGCTGCAACAAGAGTGTGGGCAGAAGGTGGGCAATAGGGACCCACAGGCCTTGGGGAGAGAGGCACTGTGAGCGGCCTCAGCTGAGAATCACTCCATAGGTGTCTCTGAAAAACGTTACCTTACACGTGTCCTCTTTAGGGGTACTCTTGGGCCTCACAGGGATCTCACCTCGACAGTCTTTCCCGTAAGATCCTGAGGAGGAAGTGAGACAGCTCCTCAGGGTGCAGCCAGCACAGTCTGAGGATCAGACACTGACGGTGTGGTTGGGGGTGGGGATTGAGATTGTGAGGTCTCGTCTGTTCTATTTGGGTGACCCCTTCCATGCTCACTCAGCATCCTCACATGTCCCTGGCAGGGCCTGCCTATCCACCTCTGATGGCCTGAGACAAAACACGCAGAACAAGACCACATACACCTGAGACTGCCCAGGAAAATGTGGGGTGGCCCTACATCTGGCCACACCTACCCAGATTCTCATAGGTGTCACCAAGGACACATGTGTGTCACCATACTCTATTAGTTCTATCTGTCCTAGGATGGGACAGTTCCACACAGTCTTCATCTTGTCACTCTGCTGTGACTGGGACAACTCCATCTGTTGACCTGAGGCCACCTTCCTTAAGCTTCATCTCCATAAGACTCTGCAAGAGGAAGTGATGGGAGCCATCCACCCACCCATACCAGGTCTCCCCATCCATGACGACAAGGGCTCGGCAGGTCAGGGCTCCATGTGCCCTGGTGTGGGGGGGACCCACTCAGTTCTCACTGTGACCCCTGCCTGGGCCTGGGAACCTGCACCAGCTGACCTGAGTGCAGACACTCAGACCAAGGCCCTCCCCTCCTTGAGACCACCCTTCTGGGAATGAGGAAGGGTTCAACCTGACAGGCCTCCTGGGTTTCCCAGGGCTGACAGTAGGGGCAGACCGGGATCCTGCGGGGCCCCCTTTCGGTCTGGAGTTTGGGTTACACTCCCTCTTCCCTCCTGGTCCTCACCTTGACTCCCAGGGGGACCTGGGCTCTCCCATCCTGCAACCTGAGGCCCTGTTCCTTATACCAAGACCCCAGTCATTCTCAGACCCAGACGGGGAAGTCGAGAAATGCCGCCTGGGGATAAACTCGACATGCGGTCTCCCAGGGGCGACCAGTGGGCGTGGTCTTCTGTTGGTTCTCTTCTGTTCTGGGTATCGATACACTTCGGTCCTCTCTGAGGGTCCTCACTTTGCTCCCACAAGGATCTGGGCCCCCCCCTCTGAGGACCTGAGGCCAGGCTCCTCTGCATCGAGCCCGCAGGCTTTCTGAGTCACGCATGTGCAAGTCAGGAAACGCGCCTGTGGTCAAACGACCACGGGGCCTCGCATCTCTGACAGCATGGGCGAACTCTGTGGGGTCTCCTCTGTCCTCCCTCGCAGTCCTCACCTTGAGCCCTGGCAGATCCCGGATCCTCCCTCTGTTGACCCGGGCCCAGGCCCCTCGGACCAAAGCCTTCACTGCCCAGAGAATTCCCAGGTGAAGCTTGTTTTCATCACATCAAGGCACTAAATCCAGAGTTTACAAGGCCTGACCCGAGGTCCTGAGATGGCCTCCCTGAGGTCCCTCACCCCTCCATCTGGTGCTCAACTTGATTCCCAGCAGGACCTCTTCCCTCTCCACTGCCCACCTACTTTTGTTCCCTTCATCCTCAGGGCCTAAACTCTCTTCATCCTCCGAAGGCCCTCTTCATCCTTCAGTGAACACCACTTGTCACCACCATATCCTGGGGCTCAGAGGGCCGAAAGCAGGGACGGTCTGGATTTTGTTGTGTGTCCTCTATCCAGGGCGGCCGGACCCCTCAGATTGCCCTCAGCATCCTGACACCCCTGCCACAAGGATCTTGGGTCCGTAGCTCTGCCGACCAGGGTCCGCGCCTCTTCCACCCAGGCCCTCAGGAACTGAGTCTTCCGATGAGGAAGTGGGTGAGGGGCTCAGCCTCCCGACCCTGCCCGGGACTCTCCGTGCTGACAGCGGGGCCAACCAGGGTTCTGTGGGCGCCCTCCTTCCTCCCCTCAGGATCCTACCTTGAATCTGTGCCGGGCTGGGCTCCTTCCCTCTACCGACGTGAAGCGGTCCTCACAGACACGGCCCTCACCTCTCTCAGACTTCAGAGATGGAAGTCAGTGGACGTCACATCCGGACAGCACTTTTTGAGTCCCCCAGCGCCGACAGGAGGGGCGGAGATTCGTTCTGGTGCGCTGGGGGCGGAGCGAGGGCGTGGCCCAAAGGTGTCCCAAACTTGACCTGGCAGGACTAGGATCTCCGCCCTCTTCCCACCCTAGTTCGCCCTCTGGGACTGAAGCTGTGACTCCCGAGGTCCCTGAGAAGGTGGGGACGGGGACGGGGGTCTCTACCTTACAGCCCTGCCAGGGTTCCGCACAGCTCACAGCAGCGCCCCGGGATGGGTTCTGCAAAGCCCTCTGATCTGGGGCGGGCGGGCCCCTCAGTCCTCACTCCCAGGGTGCTCACATCCCTGGCGGAGAATGCTGCGGTCCCAGGACAGATGCTCGAGGGCAGCTGTTGCCCCCGTCTGTGGCGTGGGTCAGAGAAGAAGCTCCAGTTCCCATCGTGTCTCTTTACCAGGCAGCCAAACCATGGGAAAATGGTGTCCCAAATGATTTATTTTCTCCCCAGAAGAGCCTGAGCAGCGGGAAATAGGGAGGTCCTGCCTTTTCGAAGTTATTTATTTTACATTTCATAGTCCAGAGCACTGATTTTTCCTTTTTTAAAACCCTCCTTTGATGTCTGAAATTTATTTTACATCTCACCAAATTTCAGACATGCATACCTACCCTTCCTCTGCCTGATGTATTCTGATGCTTGACACTATTTCTCGGCACATCTTTCTCTTTCATTAAAATGATAAATTTAGAAAAGGCCAGTCCTCAGGCACGAAGGTGGTTTCAGGTGGTTCTTAGCACAAACTCCGGAGCCCTACTGCCTCAATCGTCCCATCATTCCTGCCGCACTGCTATTACCGCAGAGCTCCTGGCATCTGTGGCATGGGATGTTGCCTCCGGGTTCCACAAGGAAGTACGGGCAGAAATTTAAACTTCTCCTCCTTCCCATCTGTCATCTGCATCTGTACAGGCCATAGACCCTCCCACCTTCCCACCACCCCCACCCTGAAAACAAGTTCTAACTCACCACAGTCTTCAGTCTCCCTCAGGGGTTTCTCCTGTTTTGTTGCTTAGATTATATCGCTGATGTGTATGTTTTCACATTTCATTCTCTCCTCTATATTTTTCCAGGATGGATTTTCGAAACAAAAGACAAAATCTCAAGATTGTCTGTTATCTTGTCTGTTTGCTTGGCTCTAAACTTAAGGCACTAATTCTATTAATCTGTTTCAAAATTTGTCATATTCGGGACATTCTGGTCTGCCTTCAATGTATATGGTATACTGCTCTATTTATTTGCGAACTCTTTAACTTGAATCTATCAGTAAACTAAAATAATTGCCTCTATAAAGACCGGTACAATTTCTCTGGGCTTCTTCTTAGGTAATTAAAAAATTTTCTTACAGTTCTGAATGGGTGTATTTTCAATTACATATTCTAAGTAGTTTTGTTTTTGCATGGCAAGCCTCTTTTTCTGAAATTTTTTATTCATATGAGTGTTCTATGGGCCAATTCCTTTGAATTTCCTAGATAGATAATCATGTTGTGACTCTAAATGCTCATTTTTTTTCTTTATAATATGCAGACTTCTTTATTTGGATATCCATAGCTTTGGCTTTATATTTCAGTGAAGCCTCAAAAAGTAGATGTGATAGTATATATCTATAACTGTCTCTGATAGAAATGCTTCTAACATTTGACATTTCAGTATAATTGCTATCAATTTTAAGAAAGAAAAATTCCCTTCTAATCTAATTTTGGTAAAAAGGTTTTTTTTTTATTTTTATGAATCATTTTGAATATCTTTCACAGGTTTTTCAGTATTCATACTTTTTTTTCTCTCTGCTAATTTGTTAACACAGAAAATTACACATGAAAGTCTTTTCTAATGTTAAAACATATTTTCATTCATTGAATACAGCCTGAACTTTGGTCTGAATTTTTGTGTCCCCCCTAAATTCATATTTGAAATTCTAACGCCTGTTGTGATGGTATTAGAAAATAGGACCTTCGGGAGGTGCTTAAGTCATGAGGGTGGAAACATCATGAAAGAGATCTGTGCCCTATAAAGGGGATTCCACAGTAATCATTAACTCCTTCCTCCATGCCAGATAAAATGAGAAGTCTGCAACCCAGAAGAAGACCCTCACCCAATGTGACACCTTGATCTTAGACTTCTGGCCCTCAGAACTGTGAGAAATAAATTTCTATTTATAAGCCACCCAGTCTGTATTATTTTCTTATAGCATGCCAACAGACTAATACGGCCAGTTCATCTGTTTAAGTCACTCGTATGTTGAATATGCTATACATTTACTTAGAATATATAACCCTCAAGCTAATATCATCCTTAATGGAAAAAGAGTGAATTATATTTCTCCAAGACAGGGAAAAAGCCAGGATGTCCAATCTTAAGTAAACTCTTTCAAACCATATAGAAATATGCAGGTCTAAGAAATATAATGAAGCAAGAACAAAAACTAAAAGGTATACAGTGAAGAAAAGAAAAAAATAAACTGTCCCAATTAGCAAATGACATTGATGACTACCAAGAAAATTTCTAAGTGACTTTGAGAAGGTACTGGACACAAAAACAACATAGAAATATCACAGAGAATATATATTCCTGTATAGAATCATTGCTGTTAAAAGTGAAGATTGGAAAATATCAATGTCATTTACAATAGAATCAGAAAACATGAAATATAATTTCATGATTTTAGCATAAGTCTAACAAAAAATGTGTGGTATGTCTATGCTGAACACTACAAAACTTTGATGAAAGTAATCAAGAAAAAGGTAGAGATATACCATTTTCATGTATTAAAAGACTCAACATTGTTAAGATGTTAATTTTCATCACATCATTTTATAGATTCTTCCCAATCGCAATCAAAATCCCAGCAGGAAGAAACAGTTGGGCAGTTCTTCGAAAAGTTAAACAGAAATACCATGATCCCTCTATTCCATTCCCAAAAGACTTGAAAATAGATTTTTAAAAGCACATGTACACACACATGTTCATAGCAGCATTATTTATAACAGTCAAGAGGTGAAAACAGCACTAAGGTCCATCCACGAGTGAATGAGTAAACAAATTGTAGCATGTACATAGAATGGAATATTATTCAGCCATAAAAGTCAATAAAGTCTGGTACATACTACTACATGAATGAATCTTAAAAATATTAGACTAAGTGAAAGAAGCCACATAAAAATGTCACATGCCAGGATTACATTTATATAAAATATTCAGATAAAATAAACCCTTAGATACAGAATGAAGATTTGTAGTTGCCAGGGAGTTGGGGCAGACAGGAATGGAAATTAACTGCTTTATGGGTAAGTTTTCTATTAGGGTGAAAAAATGTTCTGGAACTAAGTCAAGGTCCTGGTTGCATAACTAAATGCCACTGAATTGTTCACTATAAAGGGGTTAATTTTGTTATGTGAAAATATTACTTCAATATATATATATATATTTTTTTAATTCCTGCAGAAGGATGCTTTTAGCCCATGTGTTATTTACAAGTGTGTTGTTTAATCTC